AAAGCGAATCTTTACCTTTAATTTGCTTTTTTACGAAGCTCCGTACGATTTTTTTTCATCGATTTATTCAACGTTGAAGCAAAAGGATCATTTTTGCTTCAACGTTGCATAACTAATGTACCTAAACGGTATATTCGTGATAAACAAAATCTATTCGAATTTTTTAATAAACAAGAATTTAAGAAAAGGTTTCGATTTTCAAAAAATTCCGTAATGTTTGGTATTTAACCATTAATAGAAGAAGGATTAGCAAAAATTAATGCGGTTTGCCAATTCCTTCGGTTTTACAATTATTGATCTGTTTCAAGATTTTACGCAACAACAAGTTTTCAGATTAGTATATATATTACTCTTATTAAAAAAATGAATAATTTGGAAATATATTTATTGAAACAAATAAATGCAGGGTGTCTGTTAAGTAAGATCGGAGCCACATTGGGGCGTAGAATGGGTCAAGGGGAACAAAAAAGTTTTATACCATTTTACAATTTTTGCAATAGTTAACAAGATATCTAGTTATCAAGATATCTCCATGTTTTGAGACATCATTAAATATCAAAATTTCGTAAACATTGCAGTTTATTTCATTAGAGCGAGAAGCAATCTGATACTTAGGCTTTGTTCCAAAATTGACTGCTAGTACTGAAAATCTATAGTGCACGTAATGTAAACTGTAGCATTTTCAGTGCTAGCAATAAATTTGGAACACAATCTTAGTCTATCAGGCTATCTTTCACAAAGATAAAGTGAACTACAATGTTCATAAAAGACACGAAAGTAATCCGCGGAGCAATTTACTTTGAAGCAAATATCTATGGAAGAGTATGTTCATTGTTTATTTATTTTTATACGTTGTTGTTAAACCGCGCAGCGAAATATTAGACATTGTTCCAGAATGGTCTGGAAGTCAGCATGACAGCCGAATATTTCAAAATTCACGCATATATATGCAATACATAATATGGCAATTAAATGGAATGCTCGATGGATATCTCTCAGCCGGATATCTTTCATTTTTGCCCACGCCAATTAATAATCCTGTTACTGATAGAGAAACAAGGTTTGTCTAATTTTATAATAATAATAACATTGTACTAAATAGTAAAAATAGAAATAAAAATATATAGAAATATAAACATAAACACTTAAGTATATAAATATCAGTAATAAACACGATAATCCCATTATTTTGTATGATTTTTTCATTTTTATATAACTATAATTAGTTGTCATTCAGGAAGAAATTTTTTATGCAAGAACATACATAAATATAAAAAATATATAACTATGTATAAATAT